GCAGGGGTGATTACTATCGATATATATCCTTTTGGTTAGTAATCGATATATATCTATATATATAACTTTCCCGATGACATCAGTGTTAAGGTATCGATTTGTTTTAAAAGCTTATAGTTTTAAAATAAAATATCTATTTTTTGGTTAGTTAAAATTTGTTGAGAATTTGTTTGATAAATAAATTAAACCAAAATTATTAGCAAATTTCTCTTATGGTAATAGAATTTTACTTATGTGCATAAAGATAGAAGCATAGAGTTAGGATGTTAATATTAGAGGCTATAGCAATTTATTGGTACCTTTATATGTAAAATTTTGTTCTCATTATTTTTAATGTATTCACGTATTTTTTGATCAGGTATTTCTTTTTAGAAGTTTGTATTACTTGCATACTGGATATTATTATTGTAGTACAAAGATATAATTTAATCTATAGTTTTATCATTAAATATTAGTATTTTTAGATTGTTTGCTTTTAATATATTTTGAAACAAATATGCTTCATGAAGAAATGAGTTTTAGCAATTGGGATATAGTATTAGAAACTATTGGAACATTTGCTAAACAAAATGGATTCACATTTAAAAAAGAATGTGTAGAACATTGTCTTGATAGCATAGTAAAAAAAGAACCTTGAGTTGTGAGCACGCAGGAAAATATAACCAAAAATCCGCAAAAAATGAAACAAAGTCTAAACAAATAAGATGCATATGGTATTTAAATCTTTCACAACCAACAAAAAATAATTTGCTTAATTCTGTTTATATTACAATCTTTAATAATAAACATACTCATAAATTGTCACCAAAAAGGCTAGAGTTCATTAAAGCTAAAAAATTTATAGATGATATGGTTGAAAGAGTTTTATTTTATGCAAAAGATATAGATTTAAATCCTCGTAGCATTAAACAGACATTAGAAAAAGAATTCCCAGATCATCCTATTTATACTCAAGATCTTTATTCAATACTTTAACAATATTGTCTTATTCAAAAATCAGAGCTTGCAAATGATGCTTTTTTATTATATGATGAGTTAATAAAAAAAAAAAGCAATATCCAGAATGGTATATTGCTATAAAATAGGACAAACAATCACGATCATTGCAAAGACTTTTTTGAATGGATCTGAGCCAAATTATTCTCTGGTTAAAGTATTGTAATATAGTTTTTAATGATAATACTTCACAAACAAATCAGTATGAAATAGTTTTATCATTATTTTTAGTTGTAGATAATCATATGAAATCTTATTTAGTTGCACAAGCTATTACAGATGATGAGACTGCGGAAGCCCACAAATGGATTCTTCAACAAATTAAAAAAGCAACAAATAATACAATTCCAAAAGTAATTATGACAGATGCAGATCCTGCTTTAGATGCAGCTATTGCTCAAGAATTCAGTAATACTTACGCAATGCATTGTATATTCCATATAAGCTAAAATCTTCCACGTAATCTCCAAAACTATCTTCGTGAAAAATTTTTTGAATTTATGAAAGATTTTTATGTTGCATGAAATAGTTTAATAGTATCAGCATTTGAAGCACATTGGAAATGGCTATTAGAAAAATATAGTTATAGTGATCATGTTAAGAATTATCTTCAAAATATATTATATTCATCAAAAACATCATAGGCGAAAGCATATACTAACAAAGTTTTTACAGCAGGTATTCAATCAACATCACATGTAGAAAGCTATAATTCTGCAATTAAACGATCTATTTTTAATTCAAATACTAATCTTTTAAAACTTGCAAAAACTCAAATTCGTAAGGAAGATGAAAATATACAGTATCTTTATTGGAAAACAAATATTCCAAATACCTTTGCAATTAAGGCATTACAGAACTATTCCCAGATATAGATGAATTACTTATTCATTTTCTGTCATCTACTGTTTTAAAAATTCAACAAGATAAAATAAAAAAAGCCTTAATATATCAAGCTACTAAAGTTGATAATAATGAAATTCTACAGTAGAATAAGATATAAAATTTTTTTTATATGTATATATTCTGGTTTTGATCAACTCATCAACAATTACTTTAAAAATACTATGCTTAAAGTAATTCTAGTTATGAAATTTATTTGGTAGCTTACTATGATATTGCTTGCCAAAATATTTGGCAGTGATTACATTATCTGCCAAATAACTGTTATTTGACAAAAACTCAAGTTATTTAGCAAGCATAATCATTGTAAACTACCAAATGATACTGTTATTGTATGATACAAAGCCAATAACTTGTTTATCTGGCAACAAATTTTAACAGATCATTTCTGGGTCCCTTTGGGGCCCAGAAGCTAACATATTAAAGTTTATAGCCAGATAATGAATTATTTTACAAATAATTCTTGTTATTGGTTGCTTTGTATCCAATAACTATATATTATCTTAGATCAAATCTTAACAATAAAAATAACAAAATCGAAAACTGATCAATATCGATATTAACTAGCTTTGGCTAATTTGAATTTTGATTCTGTTGAGATTCTTATAATTAAAATTTTGAACTAAACTCAGTTGATCGGAACTTTATGATATCATTATTACTTTTTCTTTAAATTACTATATATCATTTTTTTAGGCTAAAGTAAATATAGATTTTGTTGAAAAGAATTCTAATATGCTTTAAATTTCTATTCAGTCATTGGTTAATGAAATTAATATTAGAAATATTCATAAAATATGGGCTCTTTGAATAGTTATTCACAAAAAATCTGCCATTTTGTTTTACTTTTAACAAATATAATATATATTTGCACATGCTTAGGGCTTGTAAATCATGGAATAATTTGTTAGCACTTTTTTTAAATAATGCTATGCAGTGATATGACGCGTTTTCATATTTTATTTATTCTATCAAGATGGTATTGTGATAAACATTCTGATCTATATGAACAACCATATTATATTGCGCAAAAATTTAACAAAGGCCAATTACTTAAAAAACCTTTAACAAAAGCAGCTAATGTTGGTATCTTCCAGAATCAAATCATAGTCAATGCAATTACAAAATTATTAATGAACATTAATTTTATAGAGAGCTCTGGGGCATTGTACGTAATATTACACAAAAGGCTATAAAAAAACAAGATCGTACTATATTAGAAAAACTACAAAATATTCTTGAATAATTGGCTACTACTGACGAGAAGGATGAAGAAAATAAGAAAAATGAGAAAAATGAAGAATATGAAGAAGATAGAAGTATAAATAAATCTGATGACAATAAAGTACCATTTGATCTTTAAAATCCCAAAGAAAATCTAAAAAAGGATGACCTAAAGGTACCAAATGAATTAAATTATCTATCGAAGTTTCAAAAAAAAATAAAAATATCACATTTGTAGAGAATATAAACATAATTCAAGTACATGTAAAAAAAT